GGAGAGATTTTCTGACAGTGAGAACAATCAACCGATGGAACAGCTTGCCTTCAGGTGTTGTGGGAGCTTCATCACTGGAAGCTTTCAAGAAGAGGCTGGACTGCCATCTGTCAGAAATGGTGTAGGATCTCCTGCTTGGGCAGGAGACTTGGGAGTTGACTAGATGACCTACAAGGTCCCTTCCAACTCTGTTATTTCATGCTGTTGAATCTGAGGAGTCCTTAGTGTTCTATGAGCTTGGCTGTTTTGTTGCAGATGTTTCATTATCATCAGTAACATCAGTGCTAATTCTGAGGAATCTTTTGAGCTTCTCCTACAGGATATACAGAAAGGCAGGGGATAGAAATAATTCTGCAGTTTTCCAGCCTATTTATAAAACAGAGCAAAAAATTAAAATGGGTTAGGGAAAGCAGGCATACAAGTTTCCTAAAACTCTGAACATCAGCCTTTGAAATCACACTATAAAGCCCAAAAATTATGCTGCAATTCCTGTGCTGCAAGAACTAGTAAAAAAAAAACTGTAAGCACACATACAGACAACACAGGGCACTAAAAGAGGTTTAAGAAACATTTTCAAAATATTGGGTGAAAACACATGGTGACAAGGACTTGAAAAAAGGAAAAGCAAAAATATTGCTTGCTTTGCTGCCTCAGGCGCATGCTTTTATTTATTTTACATTTTTTATGACCAACCCAACTCAAACGTCTCTGGGCAAGTTATAACAACTTAAAATAAAAACAACAGAATAAATGAAAATTATAAAAGGCAACTGTAATAACAAATAAGCCTTCCCCCAAGATGGGCACTAATAAAGCTTAGCTAGGTCTAAAGATTGTATAGCGAGTTTCATGTAATGGTGAGGGCAACTACTGTAGCCTAGAAAGCAAGAGACTGTGAGTATGTGTATATTATATATAAAACTTTTATATATAATTGTATATAGTATATGCACATACACACACAGGTTCACAAGAAAATTATTTTTTAAACATTCCCTGGACCCCAGTGTTTTCATAGCTTATCTGGGCATTAGTTCAAAATAAATAATAAATAATAAATCATTTCAAAATAAATAACAACAAATATCTAATAAACAACCAATTTTATATCTTTTTTAAAAATTCTCATTTAAAAAATAAGATTTGTTTAGCTTAGCACTGCAATGTAATGTGTGGTAAACACTGCTGAGACCAGATTGCAAACTAAAGTTCTATCTAAAAATGCAGTAATGGGAAAAATCAGTTTACAAAAGAAGAGCACATAATACTTCAATTCAGCATAGAATTTGCATATTTTACTTTATATGTAGAGACAGTGCATCTCTGCATATTGGAAAAGACTTCATAATGTGAACTTTGAACCTATTCAGTCTGCCCTTGGAGTGTTAAATGGCCTGTACTGTAAAGGGTAATTGAGATTTGTAACTGAGAATTGTATGTATTGCAAAACAGTAATTCTCAGGGGTCTTTGGAAATTAGGATGGTTTAATGCTTTCAGTGTTGATTTTAGAAACCTCTTTTATCTCAATGTTGTGGTGATTATAGAATAACACAAGCTTGGAGAAATAATAGGCTATCCGAATAGCATTTACTATTTATATTATTCTCCAATTACTTATAGCAGCCACAACCAAATATTATAGCAATGTTGGATTTTGCTTAAATATTTATTCATACTTAGTTAAGAATAAAGAAAATGCTCAGAAATCTGAAATATATGCCATACTAATTTCTATATGTCAGTTACCTTTTGTTCAAAAATTTGCATGTTATTTGATCCCCAGTAAATTCATACAGGAACTGTTGGTGATTTGCTTTGTCTCAGGATAACCTAATTTTAAATAATTTGTACGCTACCCTTCCACTGAACTAAAATCCAGATGCTGACAGGTTGGCTGCCAAGATTTAGCATTTTAATATTTCTTTGCTGCCTTCTAGTGGTCATTCCTCTTTTTACAACCCAGATCTGATAGCTTTGAGAGTCTGTGGATAAAAAAAGTAAACAGAGACTAAATTAATTAAAAGCACCGTTAACAATAAAAACATAAAATCATAAATATAGAGTAATACTGTAATAACATATCATTACACAATTACAAATGCTGAAATATGAAATGTGCTAAAATGTGAAGAAAGCTGGTATAGAAATTTAAGAACATCCAATCAGGTTAAAATGCTACTTTTTGCACCAAACTAAATCTTGCAGAGGTTTTTTCAAGGGTAGCCATATTTTCACTTCAGTTATATAGCATTTTAGAAATAATTATGAAAAGGGTGTTTCTGTATATTTAAAAACACGAATATAGCTCCAATCAGCAATTTTTGGAGTAGTTGCAAGTTTTCCAAAGATCATACAACTGCTTGCCGTTATTCCAGGCAAAGACTAAGCTGCTTTAAAGGGCTGCAGAAATGTGTTACGTTTGTGCACTATAATTGCCCAACATCTTTTATGAAACTGAGCTTCTTGATATATACTAAATTAATTTGGTATAATAGGGATATTCCAAGGCATATACAACTATTGTTAACATTAGACATAGCATATAGACTGAGAATTTGACAGATGGGCTCAGATTTGCCAGAGAGCGGAAAGAGATTTTTCCTTACCAGTGATTGCTGTGTATATTTAATATAAAATATACACAGGCTTAAATACCTGTCTTCTCATCACCAGGAAAACTGGATGAGAATTTAAGACTCTTATTTTGAATATCAATATATGGGAAAGGGGGTAGTTTGGCGCAGAAAAGCGTCCCCGGTGCAGAGCAGGATGAAAAGTTCTATTGAAACCAGAACCTTTCCGCTTGAGTATCATTTTCATTGCGAGAACTATTTTTGACTCTCTGAGGCTGCCGTAGCATTCGTTGCGTCTCAGGCGCATGCCCTCTTTTCTCTTTGGACGGCATCGTCCTAAACCGTCATGGCCGCTCTTACAAGGAAGTTCTGGCCTCCGCTTGTTGGGCGCTGCAGTAAGTTTTCGTTCTGAACGTGTTTTGCCTTCCGAGGAGACCTATTCCTAAAAAGGAAGGCCTTTTTTGAGTGTGGAACGGTTAGCTTTCCTCCTTGTGCATTTGTCGTTGTTCTCCGCATTAGAGGCTATGGAAAGAGGGCTTGCTGTTTCAGTTGGTTCTGTTTTTGTATATCCCGGAGTGCAAGTGCCCTGCAACGGTTGTGAGATTGTGAGACTCTCAGGCTCCCCCAGCCCTTTCCTTAGAACTCTGATTTTAAGGGGGGAGGGGTCGGTATGTAATAGTTGTATTTTATGCTTTTTGCATCTTGTGTTTAAGTCGAGCCTATTAAATTAAAAACAATTAAAATTAATTTTAAAAATATTGCATTTGTCAACTGCGATTGGCACTTTATGCATTTAATAGAATGAATCCTAATCGACAAAAACGTATGCCATGATAAACGTACCCGAAGACTTTTTTTCTGTTGTATGAATTGCATTTTCAACAATCCAGCTACATCCTTTACATGTATAGATATTAATATCTAAGGGGGATCACAATTGGAAGCCAATATGCATCTGGTTATATGTCTTAAGTGTCTTCGTAATTTTTATACAGACTTGAAATACAAAGGTGTTTGGTTGCACAGTACACAAGATTAGTAAAGGTATGTAGATGCTGTTAAAACATAGCAGTTAATGTAACTATTATTCTTCCAAAGGGTACCTTTCTTTATCAGCTCCACCATTCAACTGTAAAGATGGAGCACCAGCACAATTTAAACCACCTCCCAAGCCAATCATTATTGATGAATTAAAACAACAAGCATCAGAGAACCGGTAAAAATAACACTAGCTATATTTGATCTTTAAATGTTAAACAAGTCAAATTTTCTTTTATTTTGAAGTTATTTATATGTCTGATAGGTTCTTGAGTCCTGAATTCATCCCTCCACGGCAGAGAACAAATCATTTAAAATTCTTCCTTGAAAGACAATATATGATAAAAAGAAGAAAAGTAATCAGTATTCCAGAATTTTATGTCGGTCAGTACTATATTTGGAATGTTAACTTCATAATGTGGCATTGCTTACATCATAAATAATTGTACTGTAATGTAAAAGAAAACATGTTTTTATATATGATGTTCAATTAGTAGGACTCTATATGTTGAAATGATCATGTGAACATAGTGAACTCTACTATTTGTTCAAGTTGCCTGACTTTTTGGGAAATTCTGCATAAGGTTTGGATTAACTTTAATGAGTGTGTACCTCCGAGCTGTGACATTTTTTCCCCAAGACTATTGGGAAATAAGTTTTGGCTACAAATTAATGTAACAGTTGTCCATACTTAAGTAAATAACCAAATACAGTACTCAGTATAGACAGAAGTTCCATTCTAAATGTTACAGAGTTAGTAATATGTATATTTATATAAATATGTATAAATAGTATAATAGAATGGGCATGGGAGCTGATACGTATATATTTGATCAATTGCTTGGATGGTGAACTGGCTTCTCATTTAATTCTGAAAGAATCAGAATTTCTCATTAGTTCTCATGCAAAAAGCCTAGTCCCGTATGCAGTATTTGCCCATGCTATTCATGTGGTTTTCAGAATGTTGAAAGTATGCAACATGCAACAAAGCTATATCAGAAAATTATTGACTTTTATTTTAATGTGTTACATTTACTCTATATATACTCTATATAGAGTATATTACATTTACCGTACTCTATATTACATTTACTCTATATTTGCTCTATATTACATTTACTCTGACTTTACTTACCATATTTTTCGGCGTATAAAATGCACCTTTTTCCCTCAAAAAAGAGGCTGAAAATCTGAGTGTGTCTTATCACTGAATACAGCATTTTTTGCCTCCAGAAACCCCTCCCCCTTCACCAAAATAGTTGTGCATAGCCTTTAGGAGCCTTGCCGAGTGCTCCCGGGGGTTGGGGAGGGCAGAAATGGGTGAAAAATGGGCTGTTCTTTGCTCAATTTTGCCCCCAGGAGCACTCTATAAGCCTCCTAAAGGGTATGCATGCCCTTTTTTTGACAAAAAATGGGCCCATTTTTGCATAATTTTGCCCCCAGGAGCACTCTATAAGCCTCCTAAAGGGTATGCATGCCCTTTTTTTGACAAAAAATGGGCCCATTTTTGCTTGTTTTTGCCCCCCCCCCCCTCAGGAGTACTCTACAAGCTATTCATAGCCTTTTTTGGTGGGGGGAAACCAAAACGGTGAAAAACAGGCCGCTTTTGGGAGGTCTGCAGAGTGCAAAAACTTTTTTTTTAAATTTGCCTCTTCAAAATCTTGGTGCGTCTTATACTCCAAAAATACGGTAGGTTCTCTGAATGTTGGATTATTTTCTTTTCTCCCAGGAAGTATACTTTCTGTTTCTGCAATGGATCCCTATTCCAATGGAAAATGCAACACTTTTGTAGGAATTTGTATTCAGCGATCAGGAAAGGGACTTGGTGCAACCTTCATACTTCGAAATGTAATAAATGGACAAGGTGAGTACATAGAGTTTGTTATGCCTTTTAAGGATGTAGTCAGGACATTCACAAAAGGAAACAGTATCGGCTTCAAACAGCAAGGTTAAAAAATATGAAGAATTGATCATATCACACAAGGAAAACTCAGCTTTCATATTTTAAAACCTGGCGTATTATTGGTCCATTCTAAGAAAACCTGAATTTGTTAGCTAAGCATGGTAAGCTTTTGATTTACCAATTAAAAAATAATGTTCATTTTAAGGTATTGAAATCTGCTATGAATTATATAATCCACTAATCCATGAGATCAAGGTTTTGAAGTTGGAGAAGAGGCCAGATGATAACTTGATGTATTTACGAGATGCTCTGCCAGAGTTCAGCACTGTTGATGTAAACATGAAGCCAGTGTCTTACATACTTTATGATGACGTTCCTGTCAATAAGGTAATATGAAGGGGTAACTGCTGCATGCAGCTAATAATTTGTTGTGCTTGAAAATAATTTTGCATTGTAAAGCTGTTGTATAGAATTCTATTTGCTTGGAGAATGTTTTCCCAGTAGAGGTTTCCTGTCAGGCTACAGGTAGAACTTAACTTATGATTGTAATAGAACCTGCCCCTCACAGTCTTGATGGTCATAAATCAAGTCACCCATATTACCAAATTTTTATTACTTGCCAACCACCCAACATGCAGACACACATCTGTAGAGGGGGCCTGGCCATCAGAACTTTGGAACTGGTTGTAAATATCTCCAGGGAAGTCTATCATAACTTTGAATAGTTGCTAAGCAAGTATTCTTAAGTCAAGGATTATCTTGTATATGGTACATACCCTCTTTTTTTTATTGTATATAATAAAAATAATATAAATAATTGTTTTCGAGTTTACAAAGAAAAACAATTTCTTATTATGATCATGAAGATCTCTCTACAAAGTCTGCCAAGTTCCAAAGGTTTTCAAATGATTTTAGATTCCAGCACAGCATTGTATTTGACCAATAAGGTTCCTGTGTGAAGTACAGCACACCTATTTTTGTTGCTGTTCTTGTTATTTCATCAAGGAGTATAATAATCCCTGAGAGTTTCAGTCAGCAGATAGTGATTGACACAAGTTCACCCATTCCAAGAATAATTGGGAAACATCTGATCTCTCAGCATTGCTAAAAATCAGTATGTATGAATGAGGGACTTCTATGAGTACAAAATATAATTTTTTGAAAATATTTTGCTGAAATATGATATTTACATACTAACGCATTTTACTTTGAATTATATTAGATGAAGGTCAAAATGAAGCCTAAACCGTGGTCAAAACGCTGGGAACATCCAAAATACAATATCCAGGGCATCAACTTTGATGACTATCTTACAGAAAAAGACAAACAAAGAATTAAAAAATGGGAAATGCCTTGGAGACAATTTGATATGATACTAGAGTATGATACATCAAAAATTGAAAAGGAAATTCAGAAAGAAGTGAATGAAGAGCTGAATAAAAGCTAGGGGACTATTACTTGGAAAGACCATCGTTCAAGGAATTTTAGGGTATATCTTTAACAGTGACTCTTGAAAAAGCATGTAAATGAAAGGTATTCATACTTAGGGTTTTTTGTGTTCAGCAATCTTTACTTATATAAAACATTCTAAACAAGAGAAGGTAACCTTTCTGACAATTGAGGAAAATATGAAGGCCATAAGAAACATGTTGGTGACACGTTTAGAAAGGATTGGTCCCCAAAGTTGTAACTTTTTTTGCAATGGGAGGTAGCTAAAGTGTTTTCATGGATAAACCAGCACATTTCAAAAATAATCCCTTAATTTGTTGCCAAAGGGCTACAAAATTGAAGACCACCTTCAAGGGTTGTTCATGTCCATTCCAGAGGTTTTTTGTATTTGATAAGGCAAATAAAAAGATAAATACTGTAGGATTGACTTTGGATTTGTAGGGCATGCTGAGTAACAGGAAATTGAAGTAGTATAACATATCTTCAATAAAAGCATTGATTATATTATTCTTCAATTCATTTTCTATTGTATCTATGTTTAATGCCTTATACAGTCAGTATAGCATAACGTTTAGACTTATATACCACTTCACAGAGTCAGCATATTGACCCCAACAATCTGGGTCCTCATTTTCCTCACCTCGGAAGGATGGAAGGCTGAGTCAACTTTGAGGCTGGTGAGATTTGAACTGCCAAATTACAGGCAGTCAGCAGACGTAGTCTGCAG